CCACCACTCGTCACTCGTCACTCGTATGCTGTTACTCGTGGTCTCGTTACTCGGTTACTCGCTTACGTCGTTACTGTTGTATCCTCTGGCGTTACGTTCTACTCGTTATGTCTCGGTCTGGGATCGTCTCGTGTACTCGTTACTCGTATCTACTCGTTCTGCTTACTCGTCCTACTCCTTGACTCGCTTACTCGCTTCCATCGTTACCGTTACCTCGTTACTCGTCTCGTTACGTTACTCGTTACTCGCTTACTTCGTTACTCGTTATAGTCTCGTTACTCCTTAATCGCTTAATTGTTAATTGTTAATGTAATGTTAAATTGTGTTAATTGCGTTAATTGTAATTGTTAATTGTTAATTGTTAATTGTAATTGTTAATTGCTTAATTGTTAATTGTTTACTTGTTATTCGTTAATTGTTATTGCGTAGAATTGTTAATTGTTTAATTGTTAATTGATTATTGTTACATTGTTAATTGATAATTGTGGTAATTGTTGAATTGTTATCTGTTAATTGTTAATTGTTAATTGTTAATTGTTAATCGTGATTTAATTCGCCTTAATTGTTAATTGTTTCATTGTTAATTGTCTAATCTGTTTAATTGTTAATTGTATTTATTTGTTCAATTTTAATTGTTAATTGTTAATTGCTTAATCTGTTAATTGTTAGTTGTTAATTGTTAATTGTTTCCTTAACTTGTTTAATGTTCAATTGTTATAATGTTAACTGTTAATAATGTTAATTGTTTAATTCGTTTTAATTCGTTAATTGTTTTGTCCGAAATTGTTAAAATTCCGTTAATTGTAACTTGTAAATTGTTAACTTGTTAATTGTCTAATTGTTAATTGTTAATTTGTTAATTGTTAATTGTTAACTTGTATATTTTAATTGTTAATTGTTAATTGATTCGTAATTGTTAACTTGCTTAATTGTTAAATTGTAATTGTTAATCTGTTAATTGTTAATTGTTAATTGTTAAGTTATGTAATTGCTTAATTTGTTAATTGTTATTTATTGTTATTTGTTAATCTGTAATGTGTTAATCTAATGCTATTTATTGGGTTAATTGTTAATTGTTAATTGTTAATGTTACATTGTTAATTGTTAAGTGTATATGTTAATTGTTAACTTGTTAATTGTTAATTGTTAATTGGTTAATGTGTTAATTGTTCATGTTCAATTGTTGATGTCCATTGTTGTATGTCGAATTGTTGATGTCGATTGTTGAATGTCGAGCGTGTGATTGTCATGTTGATGTCGTATGTTGAATGTCGATCCTGTTGATGTTGATTGATTGTCGAAGTGGATGTTGATTGCCTTGATTTGTTGATGTTGCTGGTTGTGAATTGTTTGATGTTTGATTAGCTTGATTTGTTTGATACTTAAATCGTTGAGTTGTTAAATGGTCAATGGTTGATGTTGATTGTTGATTTGTTGATATTAAATCGTTGATTGTTAATGGTTGATGTTAATTGTTGATATTAATTGTTGATATTAATTGTTGTTATTTAATTTTTAATGCATGCATGCGTGTATGAATGCATGTATGTATGTATGCATGTATGTATGTTGTATGCATGCGTGTATATATGTATGCATGCATGCGTGTATATATGTATGCATGCATGCGTGTATGTGTGTATGTATGTATGTATGTATGCATACATGCGTGTATGTAATATGCAATTATTTATTTTTTATTTTTACGTTCAGTTTTGATCGCAACCAAAACAGGTGGGACACAGCGCGCGTGGTAACGGAAGCCCTTATTTGTGTGGGTAGAAATATTAAAATCCCCGACGCGATGCTAAACAAGCCACAGGTAAAGGACTTACCTGGTTCAATTAATCTATAATCAGTATAATAATTTGTATATATTACAAAGAACATATACTATCATAGTACAAAATTGTTTTGGGTAAATTAAATCTAAATATCATTTTTAATAAATAAGGGGACGATAGCAAGGCGGTCCGAGCGATAGGCGGATTCCGTGAACGTCTTTCTTTCTGGTCGCATGCGGAGGCAATGCTGTCGTGTCCCTCCGGTCCGAGAATTTCGAACAACACACTGCCCCCGGCCCCGACGTAGAAAGCTCGCGGAAACTTCCACTGATGCATGGTGACGCACCGGGTTTTATCCCAAAGGCTTTGCGGTCAGTTAATTTCAGACAGTGAAACGTACCATTTGAAACGGAGCATATCTGCTATCCAAATCCACGCATGCGAAAGGAGAAAAATAAGCTCATTGTTCAGTTCTGTGACACTAAAGAACTAAAGCACATCTACCTGCCGAATTTGTTATTGAAAGTTAATGGCCAGGCCTAGCATTTGAATATTTGTTTGTTCATTAGTTATGACCTAACGTTTGTCATATGTTCACGAGTTAGACTTTTAGAAGTGATTTGAAATCTATTTGATAATTCATGTTTATCCATATTTCCAGGTGTAGTAGATATAGAAGGAAAACTCGTGTATGCAGTATGTTCCATTACCGTTGTTCAAAATTATTCTTGGTTGATTATTTTTACTTTCAGTGCAATTTAAAGTGGTAAATTGATTTGTAACTAGATATAACTCCATAATATTTTACAAGCCTCGTACTCTATTAGTTCTGATGGTGATTGCCATATTAGCAAGTATAACGCAATATTAAGGGATAGAGGGCAAGTTTTACATTTGGACATTTAAAACAGTGCTTTGTAGTCTTATCATTATGTCAATTATCAGAAAAATATAAAGGAACTTACTTCACCTTCACGATATTGTTACATTTTTTGTACAAGTTTGCATTTTCTTTTCCAGCTGTTGGTACGTGGGCTCCCAAATTAATTTAAATTTGGTGCCACGCTTTGAACAGCTGTTTCGCTCTTTGAAGTCATTTAAGAAAATATTATACATTTCAAACTTCCCGCCTCCCTTGCTCAAAAAAACTGAGCGCATTCTTTCATAACTGACCAAATACTCATTGTTGTACATAGCTCTTTGAAATCGATTTTCAAATGCTTCGTAAAATCACTAATATGTTGCACCACCTCTTGGGCAGCCGCAACGAAAGAATTTCCAATTATATATCCTGGAATCCAATTTTTTCCTCATCAAACGCGACGAGTTTGAGGAGCCGCGATAACTTTTGTAGCGATCGTGCCGAGGAACTAACAAAACGTATATGGGGCGCATTGAAAGTTTGTGGTACGTTGACCGTAAGCAATTATCCTGTAATTTCTTTGACCCAACGCTCTGAGACGCGGTGCGAAAAAGCAGAAAGCATGAATAACGTGCAATTCGTAAGGCGAACATTTATTTTCGTCCAGACAGAAGTAACCATGACAAACTCTTCAATACTCATTGATTATTTCGCCAAAGTAATAATCTTTAACAATTAGGTGTCGCTTTTTTCAAAACTGTCTTCTCTGATGAGAACACAGATGCATAAAACATCTTGTTACAGTTTCTCCCAATTCATCTAAGCAATATTTCGCAGCCTCATCACCAGCTAATATTCAAAAAAGTTATTGTTCTGTTTTATATATTTAACTTCAATATGTAATTTAAACACTACAAATTTAATATTATGTATTTTAATGTGTAATTTAATTTAAATATTTAAATAGGAGGTCCGGTTTCGATTCCCAGACAATCTCATGCAAAATTTGTTCCGACAAAACAAGTTTAGTTGTTTCAAAAAAACGTAGTCCCACCCCTGTGAAGTGTCTAAACCCTACCCCTATCCTAATTCCTTCCCAATACTGGCCGCTGATTATTGACGCACGTAGGAGACGTGTACGCGAAGATGCTACCTGGCGGTTCTCTCGACAACTGACTTCGACAAGACTTTACATTAAATGACAGATAATGTTAATGCGGGATTACTTCTATAAATATAGCGCGATTATTAATGGAGGATTACTCCCAAGCGCGATGCGCTCAACGCCCCGCAGGGCTTCGATACGCGTTGCGTCAATTGAAACGCAACAAATTACTTTTTTCACTATTTTAAACCTTTTAATAAAATATTGTTTCATATTTTACTACATATCTTTGGAATTTTTACTCCACATTCATGAAAATATTTAGGGACCTCTTATTCTCTAGAAACCTGGCCCTGGAAATCAGTTTTGTGTGTAGTGCAGCCATGCAGCCACACTTTACTACATGCATTGTTCAATGTTACCTGCCCTACTAATAAAATTAGTAACTGAGAACGCCCTAAGACTTCAAAATAAACGCATGACACAAATTGCATATCCTAGGTATGCACGATTTTTCTTAATTTCGGTCCGCGTGTGAAAAGGCCTTGTCCTCCTGCAAGTGATGCAACGAATGTTTACTGAAGTTTGTTCGCACCGAAGATGAACCATGTGTAATACTGGTAGATACTATTCTGTAATTACTGTTATTCAAAGTTCAAATTGGAATTTTAATCTACTGAATGACATTCTAAAAATGAAGAAAAAAGAAGAGCAAGAATCGTTGGTCGATTTTTAATGCAAAGACAAAGAAAGGACGAGGAAATAAGATTCGAAGCATTTATGAAATATTTTTCCATGAAAAATCATTTTATAGAAACAAAATCACTGAATTGAGGGTTATTTCATGATTATAAGTATGAAGTTAGCTATTTACTTAGTATTTAAAAACATATTTTAAACATTCTTAACTTGTGTTTACGTTACGCATTCAATTTGCACCACAACTGAGATTTGCATTTTTCTAAAAATTGTAATGTGGATTCTACCTCCAGGTGGTTGAAGTAACTTGTTTCGTGATTTTTTAACTGTCGTAATATTTGGTGTAAACAAATGGTCTTCTGTAAGTCCAGAAATAAGTGACACAAATATACGTATGCATATACAGTATCCTCGCCAGTCTTAACTGTCCCAACACAAGTCGCAAGTAAGTCAATAAAAACAATATTGGTGACGCCACTCGACTGTCGCCGCGGCAGCAGCTGACAATGGATGCAAAGCTCTGGGCTCGTACGTGCGGCCCACCGGAAACATGGCGGGGGCCAGCCCGAAGAACCGGCCGGTCATTACGTACGGCCAGCGGGAGAGCCATGGACGGTGGGAGGGAGCGGAAGAAGAGGAGGGAGAACCTCTCGGCGTGGTCGGTGCGCACGGCGAGCTGCGAGAAGCCAGCGCGCGTGATTCAACGTTCCGCTGCGCATGTTGGCTTCCACGAGGGGGCCAAAACCGCACAAGGTGAAGCAGCCAAAATCCAAGTTTTCTGGCATTGAGAAATATCCTGAGAATCACTATCTTGAAGGGTGATAACATGGCCTCACTGTGATAAGACAACATTTTACTTGTAATTTGTGAATCACTGAGAGAGGAATAAACAATTTACTAGAATGAAAAACTGCAGTTAGTTTAAATTTCTAATGAATCTTAATTTTAATTTTTGCGAATTTTACAGAATGACGGGAAAATAATGTTAAATTCATTATTACAGCAAGGTGTCATCGATAAGTATTGTTTTTGTTATAGGTTGGGCACATTCAATGGGTGAGGAACTGAGGAACAATAGTTCCCCCAAACAGACCGCGCGTCTTGGTAGCAAATTCTCCAAGAATCCTGCAATAGTATGTCTTGAAGATTTCTATTAAATACCTAACACTTATTTACATATGTAATGCAATAATTAGGTTAATAATGCATCAACCCAAACGCGCAGAGTTCCTTAGAATTCGCTGTTCGTAATTTAATGCTTGATTGCGTTTAATGAAATGGATATCTATTCTTAAAGGGAACATACGGCAAATTTATCTATTGATTGTTTCTTAAGACGCAATTATTACATAATTGTTCGAAAATAGCACGTCAGTTGAAATCAACTCTTGAGTTTCGTCCGCTTGCCTCGCGAGATTTGGCACTGTGCACAGCAGTGTGCCTCATTCTTGCGCGCGTCACGGCCGCCTGCTCGCCTCGCTTCACCATTGGTGCCAGCCTTCCCGCCGCCGCGCATTGGCCGGGCCTTCACGCTCCCATTGGTCGCGTTCAATTGTTGCGCCACCGTTTCTAGTAAACGATTTTGCATGCTGCACGCCACCCCCGTTTCGCGCCTCGCCCCGCCCAGGTCCACGAGTATATATATATGTATATATATACCGACCAGCGCGCGTTCGCACTCCACTCTCGAGCCGAAGGGTCCACGCTGTGTTTGCAGGAGACGTCGATACCAGCTCGCACCAGCGTCCAGTAACATGCCTTCCCCGTGCTGTGGCGAATGCAAGGGTGAGTCTGCGTTGGTTTCCTGAAGCTGCATGTTTCTTGCGCCCTGCGGTGCTTGTTTCTGAATTCATTCCAACGGTTAGAGGTGCTGAGCTCGGTCCTCAATACACGCTCCCGCCGCGCCGTGAGAGGTGATATAGACCGGTACAACCCCAATAAACTTTGGCAATGCTGACAAAGTTTATGTCATAAGTGTTAACCAACATTTTTTTATTGGATGCGCTTTTTTAATGGATTTGCAAATTCTTTCTTTAAAAGCTCGAAAGTGGATAACTCGAAAGTGATTGTTTTGTTGACAGAAGCAAATTAAATAAACTTTTGATTCTTGAATGCAACGTAAAATTATATTAGTGTGTTAATACATTCGAGAGCTACATCTGCATATAGAATTTTACTTTTATACTCCTGCGTAGGTAGACATTATTACCCGCTGTTCTGCTTTTAGTAAAAGTTCATGGAACAACGTGTTTCCAAAATTATCTTTACGAGGCCTTCACAACTTAATGAGTACTTCTGTGTTCCAGACAAGTGCGCCGAGGGTGAGAAGTGCGGCGCCGAATGCAAGTGCCCTGATGACTGCTCCTGCAGGGCAGGCGCGGCAGCGGACGCTGCCGGTGACGGTGAGTAGAAGCAACGCATCGACGGTCTTAGTCATTCCTATCATGTGCTAATCTCGTGGGCAAAGATTGGGTGAGAGAAAGACAAGACATCAATCTATTAAATATGGGGATTTCTTTCAAATTACTCTTCTATATTCCATTCTTTTTTCACAAATTCCTACTTATTTGTTATTCGATAGGAATTCAAAAGTTAAGATGCGATTAACATTTTATATTCATACATTGTAAATTACTGTGAAAATTCAGTGATTCTCGAAATATTGTGGGGATGGGGCGGTAACTGTCCACCTTGACACTATATAAAGGAATAGAATTTTAAAATGTGTTCGGCTGAATGCGGCCCTAAAGTCAGCCGCCCGCATCAGCACCGCTTCAAATTTACATATGAAGTTGAAGGTGACAAATTTGTGGGGTATCCGGAATGCTCTCGCAAAATTAAAATATTTCATGTATAAAAAATATTAAAAATCGGTTTTAATTTGCTTGCTTTTTATGCTGAGAAACGAACTACTCACATTTGTTTCACTGGAATGTGTTTCTCAATTAGGCAGAGTTAAAAATGTGGTATTTTCCTGGCAGCAAAGGTGACAGGTTATGAACCCCAGTGAGCAGAAATTTAATGACCAAATTGAACAGAAAATATTGTAATGTCATTGAAAATAAAATACTACACTGGGTACAAAAGGTCAATAAATAGAGGTAATATGTTTGTATCCAAATTTTCACATTTTCTGTGAAAAATATAATAGTGTTTGTTGATAGTATAATTCAAATTAACCATTTACTGATATTAATATTCTTACTATACAAATTTCCGGATAAGAACATTTTAATTTTCACTTTGTATATTCAATGTAATGAACAGACGACAAATTTTGATGACCTAAAACTTCGCCAAAAATGATCAATAAAATGGGCTTAAACATTTTTACATGCCTTAAAAACAAAGAGAAATGTTGCTAAATTTTTTGTCAAAACCTGTTCAATTGAACAACTCAAGCTCTTGGATGTTATTGATATAATCGAGACTCCTTCCTTTTGTTCAAGTGAAATCAGCTTGAAAAATTTTGGTTTGGACTGTTCTTTACCATGAAGTGTCTGTCTCAAGTTATCCCAAAATCAGGTGAACTGATAATGGGGTTGATAGGTGTTGGAGGGACCTTAGATTGTTGACAACAGCTGACATTACCATTACTGAATGAAAAAATAGAATAGGATACTCAGGAATTTTGTGGAGAACATTAGTTGAAGAAGTCAGTGAAAAATGCTTTAAAAATGACTGAATAAAGGAAGAAAAGATTATTAGTCGAATCAAGGAAAAAAGGGGGAAAAATCTTATAAAAATAGGTAATTTTCCTTTGTCTTAACTGCAATTTATAGACAAGAAAAATATAGAAATAGGCAGGCAAAATACGCATATACTAATTTAAAATAGGAATTTAAAAAGACAATATATTTTTTTCTTATCCTATTAATGTGTAAAAAGTTTTCAAAGTAAACAATATAGTTACCTTCATGGAATGTTTTCCTGTCGTCATTGTTCTGACAAATCCTCATAGAAATACTTTCTATCATTGTTGGGAATTTTGGAAAAAAAGGATGAATCTTGGTAACTACCATTTTTGCTGTTTATTAAATGCATGCTTATGCTCTTAATGCTGCACCCTAATGCTAATGATCTTTTTCCTCGCATTTAATTTAACAGTTGTATGATTTGTTTTAATGCACACATTGCATGACATACATGTTAACATGCATGACACACATTGTAACAAGTGGTTACTAGTTACCACAACACATTCTCTCTTGCATTTCAAAATTTGCAATTTTCAAAATTCAGAGTTCAACAAAAATGAGACCTGCGCCATTCTTTTAAGCATTGTTTTGCTATCTGTAGGGGGAAAAAAATTAGTGGTATTTGAGAAGTTGTTAAAATTTGCATTCATTTCAAGCAGAAATTCCGCAAAAACACAAATTTAAAAAAAATTATACAAGATTTTTTGAAAGATCTGATTTTTAGGACAGATTTAATTTATGACAACAATTTCCATATTTAGTATTGTACTTTTGTAATATTAATTTTTTTGCAATTTTCCAAAATGCAGTTTGCAAACATTGGGATCAGCACCAACTTCTCATACATATCAAAGAATGGTATAGGAGACAATATTACAAAAAAAATTGTAGCTTTTTTTTGAGAAAAGGTTGTTTAAAATGCAAAGTAAAAAATAAATAGACTACCGACAGTGATTTTGCAAGTTTTTCAGAACACTTATATCCCACAGTAAAACACAACATAGATTTATTGATAGTTGTTAAATTTGTCTGTACTCTGCCAGATAAAAACAAAAAAAAAACACAATTTTTAAAATTTTTGGTCAATAAATTTTTATCAATAAATATGAAAATATGCAACAGTTAAGCATTTAATCACAAAATAGGTATTTGTAGACTGTATAAAAATCGCATACAATACTTCGAAAGCCTCAAAATGAATAAGTAACCTAATATTGTTTTCCACTGAAGGAAAAAAAAAAAAATAGGCAAAAATCCGCGGCTTTGTCATAACATAAAATTAATGTGTCTATACTAAAAGGCATTGTCCCAAAGTCAAAAGAAAAAAGGTTTCATTACAATCCATGCCCCCTAGTAATGACTCTCTCAAACCACCAATTACATTTATCATGCTTGTGACTGCTTCAGATGAGATCTATTACCATAATAGCAAAAATAAACTCTTAGGTGAATTTTGATTGAATGTTGTCCCAACTTACTGTGAAAAAGAAAAGTCAAGATTAAAAATCCAGACCTTCGAAAACTATTCACGAAATGCTCACTAATGCATATAGAGAAGATAGTTCATGAATGTCTGTCTCTGTCTGCAGCCCCAGTCGCATGCAAATGCAAGGAAGGAGAGCCCTGTGGATGTCCTGAGGCCACTTGCGTGTGCAAGTAGACCTGAAGATGAGCTTTCTATGGCATCCAGCAACTAAATACTAATTAATTTTCTTTGTACAATTATTATAATTATTTCTCCATTATTCATGATGGTTCTGAAGACTGAGTTGAATGAATGACTGAATGCAACAGATGCAATGCTGTGTGCATTTAAATCTCCTGTGTGCTGATTACAGTGTAGCATTACGTCAATGGTAGACAACATACTACTATATATGAATGTATGATGTAAATGTAAACAATAAACTGTTTACTACAATGTTGGAGTCATTTCATAAAAATAACTTTTTAGTATACAGCTATGCAAACACAATAAAAATACAACTGGAATATTCTTTGTAGATTTATTTCTATAACATTCTTTGACAAAATCCGTATCATCTCATCAAATGATAAGAAAATAAGGACATTATATCTTCACAAGTTACAAAGGCATTTTACTTTGTACAATAAATGTATTAGGTAAATAATATACCCAAAATTATACTTAACAAAGATGAGAGTATATATTTCAAAGCTCTTAACATCCTAATGTTATTTTGCCAACAATAAACATTTCCAACCTCATTTATTCTTCATTCACAGTCCATGATGTGGAACACAAGCAGAAAATAAAACAATGCATAAATGAAAGATACAGATTCCAAAGCATACTTCACTCATACATTACAGAAAATAAAATCTCTTGAAATAAATTACATTAATCACATAAAACAAACTTAATAAATATATTCTTAACACCTTAACTACATAAACAGGAATATTTTACACGAACACGTCTAATAACACACATGTGAAAGCATTGCAATGTTTATATAGATGCCAAGAACTACAGAGTGTAGAAACATGAAGTGTACAATCTATTCTTAGCTATTCGGTGCAGTATCATCAAACATCACACATTTAACAATAACCAAAAATGGCTATCACATTGTGGAAAGCACCCAATCCTTGACTGTCATACTGCAAAGCACTCCACAACTATCAAATGAACTCTGATCCAGCTTCATATGATAAGCTATTAATTTGCAGCTGTACTTTCACAAAAATGTACTGTAAAGAGAAAGTACTGTCATGTACGTGTGAAAAACAGGGTTGCACTTCCAACAATTTTAATTGTCACAATACCAACAGGTTTACTTCCTTTTTAACATGACAAAACTAGTAATATGTTCCTCTGGGTTTCTCTTGGAATTTTAATAATTCTGCACAATACTAAAAAGAGCATAAAAAAATACAATACAAATAAAATAACCCAGGAAAATTTGCAGTTTTATTATTCCTGAATATAAAAATAATTTCCATGTATATCTCGAATCTAAAACCAAGAACTAATATAAATGTTTTTAATTTGATACTTCTTTCACTTTACAGGATGCTATTCAGAAACATTTCCTTGGATTTGGTAAAATTATGTTGAAAAAATTAAATTTTCTCTGTTAAGCTGATAGCTCCCACTTGTTTTCTCCCTGAAGACACTGATCTGTCCATGACGGGTTTACATTTAATAGCAATCAAGCAGTGATGCATTTAATGCTATTATATCATTGCACCATCCAAATTACAAGCTGAGAAAATTGCCTTTACTTGACTTCCTCATAAAAAATTTTATAAACCATATTAATAATGAGCTGGGGGAACATTTCAGCTTCTTATCGCAGATAGTCATACTTTTCTTTTCTTTTTTGCTTCAATTAATATACTTATGTTGTACACTTTTTATATTATCTACTATTTTCAAAAGAACTGAACTGAAATGCATATCTTGTTTCTGAAACTAATGGTTTGGGTGAAGAGCCTTTCTAAAAAGACAAACCTTGGATATTCTTGTATAAAATTTGATGTCACTCTATTAGTTTTGCAAGATTACAATTTGAATTGATGTTGGCCATCAAAACAGGTTTTCATTTTCGTGCTCCAAAACTTTCTGAAAGTTTTAATTAGTGGATAATAGTCATTTCGTAGAAAGGAAAACTGAATTTCGATGCTTTCCAAATTTTTTTTTTTTTTTTCTGAAAATTACTCGCGAAAAAACTGAGTACAATTTTCCACATTACATTTCACTTTCTTCACAAATGTATTATGACACATGATGAAATTTTTATTGAATAATTAAATACAAAATCCATTTCTAACATTATTGAAATTGTATGCTCCAAGAAAATTAATTATTAGGAGTTAATAACTTTCACTCCAGCAATGAATATGGACATCTTCTCACCACTCACACTTTTATTAATGACAAATAAATGAATTTTATTTTTTCAACAGATGTGTTTTGGAAGGGATTAGAAAGATGATACTTTATGTACATAATAATGTACACACCAATCAAGCAGACAGTAATTTCCCTGAATCCTAAACATAAGTAAAGTGATTTAGTACAAAACACATTTCTTAATGTAAACAGCCCAGACTATAACTTATTACATTTTTGTAAGGAGTCACAAAAAAGATGTAACTAAATGAGACCACATAAAGTAATACTACCACAGCCAACCAATAAAAGAATATATTTTTCAGTCTAAAATTGGTATGGTCACAGGAGGAACAGTGACTCCACATGCATTTTCACAATTTTCTTCAACAGTATAAAATGTAAAAGAGCATTGGCAAAATTCTTAAAATAGAACCTTGAGCATACACTGTTTGAAGTCTTATTGTGTCACCATCAGTACAAACATTTTACATAACATATAAAACTAATAATAATCAATATTGTAGATTAAGAAAGGCATATCAAAATGAGTTTCTTTACACAAGGAACTTAATTTTGTAATGAACTAGATCTTCTTACCTACACAAAATGCACTTGTCCATTTTCACTGCAACACTACACATTCATTACTGCATCATCCAAAAATTGATGCAAAAATGACAGAACTGCCTTCTCTTTGTACAATCTTACTTATATAACAGCAAATATACAACACATTAATAACACAATTGTACAATAGGATTTCGAACACTGTTAACATAGTCAACATAACTAACAAAACTAACTGGTTTCCAAATCTTCATAATTCTGACTGGGTTGTAAAATATGTCTATGTTATTATATAAGTTTCTATCAGCATGATGACAACATCAATATGATGTACATAATGCAAATAACACCAAAAAAATCAAAAACAGTGATGACCTACAACTGAGTACTTGAGACATCTAAATCAATTCACTTACTCAAACAGCACTCAAAATATATTCGAATATTATGATGACTATAAGATAAATAAAGTAATTTCACATTTAACAGTTTCACAATTGTAACATTTGAGGTTTATTTGAAGTTTAAGTTTTGCTGGATATAGTGCAAAGTTGCAAATAATATTTCTGAAACAAATTTTCATTTCATTAATCAAAAACCTTGAAACTGCTGTTCATCACCTACCATAACAACATGTAGCAATATCAAGTCTGTAATTTACACATATCATTCAGCACATTTGCTGCAGAGTAATTAATTCTTCTAGTAAAAATTTACATAATCATAATTCAACAATTAACTCTAAAATCTCAAACACTTTTAGCACCTTGTTACTAATATTAAACCATTCCTAATGCAATGGCAACTTCAAAACACCTTCACATTAAGCATAATACACAAATAAAGCAGCACTTTTGCCAGCATTCATGTTTCCAACATACATTTTTGTTTTGTTTTTTGCAACAATGCTAGTGAGTGGTACTATTTCCAGTAACACTTACCTCAATTTCCAAACCTCAAATAATTTTTAGGCAATACAATTTTACTCTGGAAATTAAATGCATAATTTTCTATGCAACAGGTTCCTCATCTGTGTCAGAGCTATCATCTACTTCTGTTGGTGCACCTGCAGCATGCGACTGCGAGTGTTTGCGATGACGCATGTATTGTCGGCTTTCTTCCCCTGTGTATCGGAAACTAATAAGGGGATGAAGAGCAGATCGTAGACTCCAAAAGAGTTTAGGAAATAATATTTCTTGTTGTGCCAAAAGTTGTTTGCTGCGATGACGTTCCTGAAAATAATTTGGAAAAAAAATGTTCTTTTAAAAAAAAAACTCTGTTTATATATTCTGAAATCTACCAACTTAAAAGAGGCAGTTTTTCAGCAAAAATAGAAAAAACTTAAAAATGTTAATTTTTTCAGAAAGACAAAAGAGCCTTCTATTCCTGTGCCATGGGGACTATGTTGTTCAATTCTCATCAACAAGTGACATTCAGAGGTTCATTTGAAAATTAATTCAGTGGTCCTGAGCATAAGAATGAGCAGCCATAAATGTTTATTAATCCATTCCTGCTCCATTCAAACTCAGGAGCCTCTTACTGAAGTTTATCAACAGAGTTCAATTTCATTATGGTAATATTTATATAATGCCAAAACTTATAATTGGAGTTCAGCAAACCAAATGGGAAATAAAAAAACTAAAAATTGATTACACCAAATTTTCGCGTTTTATTAACACTGGATTCTAATAAATAACTTAAGCAAATAAATGTGGCTTCATGTACTAGAGGAAATTTAAAGACTGCTGATAAGCTTAGTATTCTTAAAGTCATAACTAAAAAATTTTCAAGACAAAAATCTTTTGTGGATGAAAAATAAAAACTGTACATAATATTTTAAAACAAAATTATCTTATGTAGAGCACACTAGAGAATAAACTTATTGAAACTGGGTTTAAAAGAACTTTCCATTTCTTCCTAAGGTTATGTCTTTAGGAACTTTCAAATACTACCTTTCATTTGATATTGAGTAAGTATTCAGCCCATTGCAATATCTTCCATTCACACTTATACAAATAATCCATTTATATATGGAAATCTACAAAAAATATTCTAAAACTTGCCTTTGGTGCTTCAAAACATGCAGGACAGTTTTCTGGAATGACAGGTAATTTTCTACTTTCTGCAAATTGGCGAAGAGCTTTCTCTCTCACATAAACAAATGGTCTGATCACTCTCAAATCACGCTCCCTGCAACAGATGTAAAACAGTATAAAACACTACATAAGTAAGCGAGCAAAATATGGATAGTTATTAACTCTTTTAAATATCCTTACCTGATGTAGTAATGAGCTTTCATGGAACGTAATCTTCCGTTGTGAAACACAGACATGAGAAAACTTTCTGACAAATCATCAAGATGTTGCCCTAGAGCAAGCACATTATAACCATGCTTTCTAGCAGCAGCATACAATCGTCCTCTCTTCATTCGACTGCAAAAACTACATACAGAAGTACATCTGTCAAGTGCAGCTGCCTGTTGCAAAATAGCTAAAAAAAGAAAGAAAAAAAAAGGGGGATCAATAACACATTTGTACTTATTACAAATGTGAAGATTAGAAATGGAGGTAAGGAATAAGTTTAAGAAAAATCAACAAATAGTGTAATGTTAAAGAATATAATTATTGTCATTAGAACTTCCACAATCAAATACAGAAATATAGTTTTGGCTACTGCTATTTGCACATAATTTGTAAGAACAAAGAAGTTTAGAAAGTAGAAGAAACCAATTGTAATCAATTGTAAAAAAAAAAAAAAAATTGAAATAGAATAAAAATGGAGTAATGTCTTAAAAAGACTTACGTTGTTCTTCATATAGATAATGTACACCCAAAGATTCCATATAGGGAATTAGAGGCCGAGGGTCATATGCTGTACTTCCAGGATCTACAGTTGCAGCACCAAGGATGAAGTGAACACCTTTAGCTCTAGCATAAAACTGGTATTGGTGCAAAGTATGCAACAAACTAAGAGAGTCTTTTCCTCCTGATAAACACACCATGACTCTGTCGCCATCACGTATCATATCAAATTCTTGAAGTGCCTGGTAACAAAGACAATAGAACTTAAGTTGCTTTGCATGTGAAAAATAATTAGACGCATTGATGTTTCAGAATATGTACCTGTGACATACATTTGAAAATTAAATTATAAATAACTAGTTAAAATAAAAAATTTTAAAATAAAATTAATTTCACTTCAATACCAAGTGCAAACAGTTACATTACTCATGAGACCCAGTAAATCATATCAAGTATATAAATATTCTAAGAATATTTCTTGTGACAACCTCAAAACCTTAATAACAACATATTTTTTGGTGTAGTTCTAATACACTTTGCGGAATTTTCAAACCTTACAACATATTAATATACCAATTTCTTTTGGAATGTCAATTTTGCAGAGAAATTATAGACATTTCATTGTTGAAATGTTATGAGATCTAGCTTGTTTAATTATTTTAATTATGAATTCTAATGGTCAATGTTTAACAGGAATACAAGGTGTTCCCTAAAAAATTTAATCGTTTCAAAATTAAAATTCAATATAATGGGGAAAAGGGAAGGATATTGACTGGGAATCAGTACAATAAGAAAACAAATTAGAGACAGAGAAATATAATTTATTTACAAATAACTTCAAAACTCCACCTGTCAACTTTCAACAGATGGATGGAATGCAAAAGTCTTTTTTATTTATTTTGAAGACTAATTTGCTACAATGTACCAAGACAATTCATTTGCTTTTTACTTTTCAGAACATGAACAAAAGTTGGTAGCACTGCAATGAATTAACTCATATGTATATAAAAAAAGAATATTGATAAGTCATCACTGTGATATTATTAATTCTTATTTATAAAAAACACGTAATACTGAATCAGTTTTGAATAAAATTAGTTTTGACACCATTGCTTTCTTCCCACAGCACATATTGCATTTTTAATTGGCACTAAGTTACAATGTTACCACTCAAAAAACAGTAACTAGAGCAATCATGTGAGAGGTTTAATAATTTATTTTGTTAACATATGTCTGATAATAAAGTTCTGCAATAATAGTACACAATAATGATATTTACTTGCATATATTTTATTCTGGATGAACACCAGCTTGTATTGTAACAACAAGAAGTGTACATAAAATAATGCTAATATATTACCTACTTTGGTTGAAAGTACTAAATCCCTGAACAATGCCAACTTAAGCAATGTAACACACTCAGATTGAACTATTAAAAATAGAAATCAGTAGGCATATCCATTCCGTTTGAAAGGAAATAATAAGCGCAGCTAATAGAATGAATGAACACTCCACGATTTAGCTAATATTTTTGGAAGTTGCAGAACTTACCTCAACAGCAGGTTTCCAGATAGCCTTCGGGGGGCAATGCCATCGAGCCACGCCATTTTCGAGACCCACCACACTTAAAGTCACTGTTGCAGTTTCCTCTGCCTCTGCAGTCCTTTCTGACAGTTCTTCTTCAGTCACATAACAACTGCCAACATCACAGCGCCGTCTCAAATCAAGTGCAGCTCGACTCAGTTGCTGTAAAGATCCCACACCTCCTGTACTGCCTGCACTTAGATTGGTTTTGCGTCGCCGAGCACCAGTACAGTCTTTTGCCAAAGTGTTGCCTGGTGAGGATGAATCAGACTCATGGAAGGTGAGATTGATTCCACTGTCCTGCAGACAAAAACATGGCATTTGCCTGTGCAGTTACAATTTTCTCAACAAAGTTTCAAAATATCCCAATAAAGCTTGAAGTGGATAAATTGAAATAAAAGTAGTCAGGTGTAAGTTGATCACAAGAATTAGTTACAGGAAGGAGACAACGACCATGAATTTTGTTTGAGTCATCAACTGAAAAAGTACATTGACATTTTCAAAAATATAATCCAAAAAAGGCATGAGCACTAAATAGTGTATAAAAATGTTCATATAGATTTTCTCATTAGCACTGTCTCAAACAGAAAAATTAAACTAATGAAAAGTGCACAATCTTAGTTCAGCATTTATGAGCTGTGAAATCTGTATTAAGTATACTGTTGGTGTTGTGAAAAAAATCTTTCTTTTAACATATTAAGGACCAATCATTGAAATAATAATATTGTTTTAATAATGTTATACATTTACTCTAACATTACAATAGAAAGGATAGAAAACTCATTTATAATTTTTTTAAACCAATAGTCAATGTGTTATGTATACACAACTTTGTGTATACGCAATGAACTTTACGTATACGCAATGTTCAAACTGTTACGTATAACATATATTTTTAACATTTGTAAACTGTAGTGCTTTTGCACAATCTGCACCTCCTCCTGGCTTTGTTTTCTCCATTTATAATTACATGCTCTTTGTCATGATTGATTGATTGATTAACTGACTGTTGATTCAGGGTACGTGAACTGCTAAGTTCATTAGTCTCGTAAATGTAATGAGTTTTTTTTTTATTGTGTAAGGTGGTTGTTTTTTCCGCCGGTTGGATGGAGAGATCCGACGCTGACCTACCTGGCGGCTACCAGGTTTTTCCTCCAGCAGATATTTAGCAGGGCACCGCTTCAATCAGAACCAGATCTTAGCTCCCAGCCAGGCTCCTGGCAAGTATGGTAGTGTAGTGCAAGTACAAGTGTAAGTGTAAATGGTGCAATTAATATGGGAGAATGGGGCAAGGATGAGGAAGGAATGATCAAATCAGAGGCAGTGAAGTGATAATTTTATGCCCTGAGCCACCTCTGTCAGTATCGTTTATCATCATAACGTACGTCTTTAGATAGGGAAGTGTTTGCGGGTCGACGATTATGGAATTTTTTCTGTCTCCTGTGTATTCATTTAGTCATTATTGCATTCACTTCCTTTTGCACAGACTTCAGATTTTATTAGTCATGGCTAAGAAAGAGCAAAATTATAGTTCTCACATCTGTTCTTCATTCGCAATATTATACATTTTCCATGAGCAGACAAATGCAGTCAATAAATTTTCCTTCTCCTACTTCTTTTTCTTTCCACCAAGATAAGATAATTATATCAAGAATGGAAATATGAAACAGTAGTTACATGTCTATTCCTCAATGATTACATTCCAATTGCATTTGTTCTATCATGTTCAGCCCATCCCCATTAATCTAACGTCACGTAAATGCAGCATTATTGTAAATTATCAATAATAAGCTATATAAGGACTTATCTGCCTAATAAATATTGTGAAACGATAAAAGATGTTGAGTAATGTAGTAAAAAAAAGTATTGTGGAAGACAATGCACAGATAATGTTTTTATATTGAACCAAACAATAGAGAATAGAAGAGAGTTTAATTTAAACATGCACATTGCATTCATTGATTTTGTAAAAGCCTTCGACTGAGTGAACAAGGATTAAAACAAGGTTGTAGTCATTCCCCAATATTATTTAACATCTATATAGATGATATTCTTAGAGAAGGGAAATTAAAAGTAAAACAAGGGATCGGATTGAACGGAAATAATTATATCAATACTCTGCTATTTGCTGATGACCAAGTTATTATGTATGAAAAAGAAAATGATATCCAAATGGCACACCATCAATTAAATCTAATGTGTAAAAATTATAACATGAAAATATCAAAACAAAAAACAAAGGTCATGGCTTTTAAAGGTGTCTATCCAATTATATAACAAAGATATGCCTGAAAAACTAAAAATCACAAGTTCCAATGTGACACACTACACAGAACATTAAAAAATAAGACTAGAAAAGACACACTGTTACAATTTTATAAAACAATGGCAACACCAATAGTCCTGTATGGGAGTGAAAATTGGATTCTCTCTCAAAAAGAAAAAATAATATTCAAACTACAGAGATGAAATACAACTATACAAAGACTGGAAAAATCATTTAGAAAGAATAGAGTACAATAGGCTACCTAAACAAGTGCTGCAGTACAACAAAACAGGAAAAAGAAGGGTAGGAAGACCACGCAGAAGATGGTTTCATATGTGAAGACGGAACAGGCAGCCGCCTAATCTTTGAAGTGAAGAAGAAGAAGAAAAGAGAAGAAAAAGAAGAAGAAAAGAGAAGAAGAAGAAGAAGAAAAGAGAAGAAGAAGAAAAGAGAAGAAGAAGAAAAGAGAAGAAGAAGAAGAAGAAGAAGAAGAAGAAGAAGAAGAAGAAGAAGAAAAGAGAAGAAGAAGAAAAGAGAAGAAGAAGAAGAAGAAGAAGAAAAGAGAAGAAGAAGAAGAAGAAAAGAGAAGAAGAAAAAGAAGAAGAAGAAGAAGAAGAAGAAAAGAGAAGAAAAGAGAAGAAGAAGAAGAAGAAGAAAAGAGAAGAAGAAGAAGAAGAAGAAGAAGAAAGAAGAAGAAGAAAGAAGAAGGTTTTGTTTAATAATTAATTTATAAATTGAATATCTGTAGCACAATTCACCGTATTTGCATATTTCATTCCTCGCAACAAAACTTACGCTTTTTGCAAGAAAATACAATTCAGATCACAAAAAGGAATATATTAAGTTTTATAAAGCATATTATTGCATTTATTGGTAATCAGTAATTTGTGTATATTGATACATAATTTGTTATTATTGACTCACTCAAGACTGTTGCATTACTTTTCTTTTCAGCAACAGATTTCTAAGATAAGCAGTTTCTTCCAATCGCTCTTATGAGCATCACCAACAATATTGGTTGTCAGGCAGAGACAGTAATTCTCAAAATAGCTTTGCTTAGTGGCAGCAACGACTTAAGACTACAAATGCTAATAGCTGCTGCATCTGGAGAAGCACTATCAGCTTCATTGTGATCTGTTTACTGGGAGGGTGGAGCACATAGAAATTAATTCAGAGTGGTGCTGGTGATTTCAGTAGAGTTTCACCATGGCGGTGAAGAACAAATCTTCTAGAAGTGTTTTGCTATGAAAATAGATTCAAGAGGATTGCACTCTGTCATGGAAAAGTTGTAGATAGGTTAAGAGAAACAAAATGAGAGAAAATATATTAAAAAAAAAAACTTCCATAAAACAAATATTATAAAATATTACTGTAAAAAATGCTTGAAGTATGTTTGTTCAAGTAACGCAGACATATTTTGTTCATATTGTAGCTTTTAACTTATGTTACATTTTCTTTTCTTTGATCTTCGTTCACGTTCAATTTTTTCTTGTTCACTAGTCTGAGAATTCAAAAAAATTGAAAGATATTTTGTACTATATTTGCATCAATTATTTATTTGCATCTTTTACTTTATCACTAGACAGCATTTCAGTATGAGTGAAGTGATGAGAAGAGATGTGATTTCAGTTTAGGCATGAGTTTATGACATTCCGTCACTGGCATCTAGACTACATCCCGTGCATCAATCAAGATGTACGAGGTGTCATTAGACGCGTCCTGATATCCTGATGGGGAATTGATAGTTTGTTTTTGGATCTGGCTAGAATATTCAAATATATTTCCAAAAACGTGTTTTATGTGTTTTGGTGCTGCGGTCTTAGTGATAATGCCAAGAAGTAAACCAATGCCTCCTGAATCAATCTATGTAGCCATAATTTTCTTTCACAACGTTGGCAACACTCATGTTGACATCTTAAAGTGAACAATTGAATTACTACGTAAATCACGCTGCAGTTTGATTTCAAGTTAGAGTTGAATTATTATCGTATTTTAAAAAATAAATTTGTGAATACCTGCGAACAGTATTACCTTGGACCTTATTGAACTTGAATAAATTTACGTAAATATGGAGAAAACAAAACTGTGAGCAATGCTGGAGAATGAATGAACATTATGTTAGACTTCGCACTTTTACGTGTGTGAAAATACCGATTTCAAATGAATGTGACCTACAACTTATGTTTATTAAACTTATCTAATACCTTATTCACATAAACATACAAAACAGTCACCTTTCAATGTTAGATTCGCATACAAAACAATTAATATTCCAATTGCAGAAGTAAAAGTGAATACAAATTAGACTGAATTTGTGAAGTTTTAATCACTTTTAAAACTTAGGGAGAAAAAATATGAAAGTTTTCAGGAAATCAGGGAAGAATGAAATGTAGTTGTTAAAGATGTTGCAATACATTTTTGGTACTAATTTGTAATGATCTGTATTTTTGCTTTTGGCATTGGTTTTAATGAAATTATGCATGCATTTTACCAAAACGCATAAAAATGTAGCTGTACTAAAATTTTACTATTAGCATCCAAACCTGCAAATATTTGTTATGATGAATACAATTTTGAAATTGCGGTAAAATCAGTTAATATCCCATATGAAGGTAACACACAAACCATTGGGTGTTGAACGGGTTTGGAACGAGAATATAACATTATCAGCTACTACGATTCATTAGTATGCTCAATGCCAGATACTGAAAGAACATATGTAAACAAAACTGGGCAAGAAAGAAATGCAGTATGAAAGAAATTTTCAACACATGAAACTATTTTTAAAACAACATCGGCTATGCAAAATTTGCTAGTAATAAATTATTTGTGTAATTAATTAGTGCTTTAAATAGGCTCTAAAAACTAGTAGGTTCTATTACACAAAACGTTCCCACTGATATCAGGATTTATCACATTCCTGCCGCTGGATTAATAATGTTAGGCCTTTAGACATCTTTAGAAAACTATTCATAAATACATTTTTGGTCACCATCGTATGTTTAGAAAATGTCAGCAGCTCAAATATTTCACAGTTTTTCTCAAATTATTGAAATTATCATTGGCCCATAAAATTTGACATGATCATTTACTTTTTTAACTATTGCAGTACTGTGAAATAAAAGATTTGAATGTATTTTTCTTATACACAGACTTGTGTAAATCATACATTTCAAAGAGTGTCAGAAGGAGTGAAAAGTTTATTTCTGGAGATGGACAAATTGATGGCAAATATTTCTGCAAAGTCTTTTTAGAATCCAGATATTCAAAAATATAGTTCAAGATCTGCCCCTGCCTCCTCAATTTGCCTTGATGATGCAGGGAACATTGATTTCTGCAATTGTTTACTACTCCAATTTTACAAGAAGCAAATTGTAATCAACACTACTGAGGATGAAATATCATCAGTCGATTTAACAAAAAATATTCTTGATTCATTGGAAATAAAAAAGCTAATTTTTATTAGAGCTTAAATATTTTAGATATTATTTCACTTGGAAGGAAGAGAACAAAATCTAGAGCAGTCATTGAAACCTGTGGATGACGTTTATAACGACTTCATAAATTACCAGGGGAAAAACGATTATTCCTAAGAGAAATATGTGTTTTCCCAAAGCGGGGAATTGGAGCAAAAATATTACCATATTAAAGTACTAAAATGTGACAAAAGGCACGCGCAGTGGAGCGAAGTGGCACCTGCGAGCTGACGCTGTTGATGGTGGAGCGCACGAGCAACGCGTGCCTGGTGGCGCCGGCGGCGCCGCACGTGGCGTCGTCCTCCCAGCCGTCGCCGTCCTCGCCGTCTTCTTCGGAGCGGCCGCTGCCCGCGCCCGGGTCCGCGCCCGCGCCACCACCGCCCGCGGGCGACGACGCTGCCGTGCCCGCCGGATCGCGCCCGGCCATCACGTGGATCACCGTCTCGTCGCTGGAGCACTCGCTGCTCTGCGTGCGCTCGCCCGCCAGATCGGCCACCTGAGCACCCAAGCACGCGCCGCTTACAGTCAATAAAGAAACAGCCTATATTCTATAAAGCAGAGAAGATCGAGGGCAGGAGAGGGACGGGGAGAGAAGTCAAGGGAAAGGAGGGAAAGATAGAAGCAGGGAGGGGATTAAATTTATTTTTCAGCAAACTCACAACGCTTAAAGTTTTTATTTGAGTGACGCGTTTGCTTAGCCATTCGTTCTCATGAGAGACCTTAATTTGGGTGTCCCCGGGTTGCGCCAAAAAAAGAGCCATAAGCTGCAGATATTCTGGCTATCCCAGACCATCCTGCGTATCTCCTTTCCGTATTTGGACATGGCAACTGATAACATCGGTTCGCCCGAGGGCCACGTAGAAGGAGAGAGCGAGGAGACGAAGCACCCACCTTGCTGGAGAGGAAGGGCGAGGGCCCGGCGAGCGAGACGTCGGGCGCGGACGACGGGTCGGGCGAGGTGGCGGTGGCGGACGGCGGCGACGTGGGCGAGCGCGGGGAGCGCGGCGAGCGCGGGGAGGCGGCGCCCGACGCCGCAGAGCCGGGCCGCGGCGCCGTGCATGCATGCTGGTGGTAGTGGTGGTGCGCGCCGCTGTAATCTGGGGAGATCAAGCAGTCCACCGCGCTTACCATCTCACGGATCTCAGACTTCATCTCAGACGCCATCTCGCGGGACATGCCCATTAGGTATTCGGCGACCTCCAGGGCCGACACGGGCCCGCCGCCGCCGTTAGAGGCGGGGGTGGAGGCGCGGGCGGAATCGGCGGCGGGGGTGACTGGCAGGTTGGGAAGAGAAGTAGGGAACGTGACGGCAGGCGAGGGGGCAGGAGAAGGAGAGGGCGACGGTATGCCGTTGTCGCCGCCCCCGCCACTGCTGCCGGAATTGGACCGCGTCTTTTCGTAGCCGTTCAGGTGTGGCTCGCCGCTGTCGGAAAGCACGTCCTCTACCTGCAACAACGCGACCAACAACGCTTAGTCCTGAACGTACGCGTTATTTATCATGATCCACGTAAATCCTAGACTACAACTAAAATAAGACTTCAGAGATGGATAGACATATTTAAGTTTCAAAAGGTCGGTTTTAAATAAAGGAAGAGTGGGGATTTTTAAGGAGAGAAGCCTGGCATAGTAATTCAATAATAATGTTCATTATTAGGCGAACCTTACAATAACACTTAATTTTAGATTACTTTTTAACTACTTAATTTTAACTTATACATCAAAAAAAGGTTTACGAGAACGATCATAATTTTTTTAATGGATTTCAAATTTTTGAAATGCTATTTCAAAAATCAGGAAAGATCAATGCGTCCATTACCATTCGAAATAAACGATGTGGAACTGCTAAATAATACTATTTTTGTTCGAAGCAGTTCGCATTCATACCTTGGAGATGACTTCGCGAATCTCCGACTTGATCTCGGCGGTGATCTGCTTAGTGACTTCGTTGACGTAGGCGTGCAGGTCCTCGGGGCTCTGCGAGGGCGCAGGGTGGAGCGCGTGTAGAGGGTGGTGAGGATGGTGGGCTGGGTGGCCGAGCGTGGAGCAGTCGTTGTAGGAGCCCGCGGCCAACTGCAGCAGCCCCAGCGAGGACAGCGGCGAAACGCCGCCGGCCGCGCCCAGCTCCAGCGAGTGCAGGTCGGTCTGGCTGCTGCAGGAGCGGCGGCCGGCGGCGGCCGGGGCGCCCCTCGCGACGCCGTGCGCAGCGCGCCCTGCGCCGGCCAACGTGCTGGCGCTGGCGCGGGCGTCGCAAGCCACGGCCGGCGCCACCAGCCCCAGGTTGGCCATGGTGACGGGGCTCAGCACCGGCGGCGACACTTGCGACGAGGAGCCCAGCGAGTGGCAGCGCGTGCGGCTGCCGCCCCCAAACGAGTGCGCGCACGCCAAGTGGGGCGCGTGCGCGTGCACGGGACTGCGCGCCAGCGGAGACGTCAGCAGCGGCGGCGGCGTCACCGCCTCGCCCACCGCGAAGTGCAGCGGCCGAAGCAGCGTCACCGGCTGCTGCAGCGCCGCCTGCTCGCCCGACGACGCGCCGCCGCCTGCCCAACAAAACTCTCATTGCACAAGTTGCTACGTAAGTTTCCAAAGTAGAAGGCCATACTTTGAGACGTTTCTAATTAGTTCACTTTGATAAATTTCTAATTACTTTAGAATGTCAGTTTGCCCCGTTTAAATTTGAAAATTAACTCATAATTGGTGAAGGAATAGTGTAGTTGAAAATTTGTCAGAAAATAATTTGTAACAAATTAGGGAAGTGGTTACTTTCTTTTATTTAAAATGAGAAACGTAAATTTCGTTTCTTTATTCCTAAATTTCTGTATCGAAACTACAGGATGTGTTAAACCGAGATGCGTGAAAATTTAAGGTACTGGACGAGGGAATTCCATTTTACTGTAAAAAGAGACTTATAAAGTAGTGTTAGTTTAGAGAATCTAATGGGAATGCAGAACCAGGACCCCAATGAACTGGCCCAAATGCAAGCACTTGATAGCGTTTTAAGACGGTTTTAGAGACGCCATTACCGATCCCTGCGGCGAAGGCGCCGTCACAGCTGTCGGAGAGCGGAAGCGGCTGCAGCGGAGCGCTTAAGTGCTTGTCGATGCAGGGCAGGCTAGAGTGGCGGGGCGAGGCCAGGCGCGGCGGGGGCGTGCGCGTGGGCGGGGAAGGGGGCGTGGGCGGGGCGTCCGCGGCCGCCGCCCGCGCCTGCTGAGCGCGCGTTGCCGCCACGGCTACCGCGGCGGGCGGTAGGCCATTGGGCGAGGCGGCGGGTGGCACGGGGCTGGGCGCCGACGTGGGCACCGACGGCGCGGGCGACCCCTCCGACACGCTGCCGCGAGACCCGCCGTACACCGCGGGCTGGAAGGGCACGTCGTGCTTCACGTTGTGCGAGTTGCCTAGCAGTAGATCCTGCGCCTCGCTCGGCAGCATGAACCAGCGCAGGCCCTCCGTCTGCGCGTCGAACATCACGCACTGGTCGGCCAGCGGGTAGCGCTGCGCCATCTGCAAGCGCACGCGACTGCTCAGCACGGGCCTCAGCTGCGAGGCACACGCAAGCGCGCGCTCGTCAGAGCGGCGTCGGGCACTGCCCTCTGCCCTTAGAAGCTCTACAGGCTGTGGACCTGCGGTTTATAAGTTCTTTGTGTATAGTCCACTTCATTAACGACCCGCAGGCATACAAGAAGCAAGGATACAAGAATTATGAGAAAAAGAGGACTATCGTGAATGTAGGAGGACTAATGAAATGGAGGATAACATCCTTGGTGTGGCCGACGTTAGCCGACAATGGCTGTGGAGAAAAGGGGGAGGAGCCCGCGGGGGGCGCACCCACCTTGCGTGCCTTGTTGAAGATGTTGCGAGCCGTCTGCAGCACGTCAGCGTGGTCCTGCGGGAAGGTGCCGCAGCCCGATACGCGCCGCTCGTTCACCGTCATCTTGCCGTCCACGTAGCGGATGTGGCCCAGCCACTTGCGGTCGCGGAACACCTGAACGGGAGACCAGGCCGTCAGCGCCGCCCTCCGGCCACCCCGCCTGTCCCGGCCCCGCCCGGCACCCCCTCGGCGGCGCGGCGGTGCGTCCTGCCATGCAAATTGCGACTGCCCTTCTCCAGCCTACCACGGCGCACACAATCTCCAGATTAATGTCACTACCGAAACGGAATGACCGATGCCCCCAAAACAAGGCGAAATTGCCAACCAAACCTTCTGTTTTCCTTTTTTTTATTACCCTCAAATTAATACATTTCTGCTATTCTGGAGGTAACGCGTTTGAGTTCACAAGCGAGAAACAATCGCAATTTTCAAAGCAGACACACTGCTTCTTACAGAGGCAAACTTCCTTTCGCGCAGACAACATACAAACATTCAATGTAGTGACTGTATTTACGACGAGATTTAAGATACCTTTTGTATTGATATACCGTCAACACACTTCTGTAGGCAATGTACTATTTCTGAGGATTTTTAATATCAGTATCTCAAATAAAACTGAATAATTACAGGTTGAAAAAGATGTATACATTATAAAAAGAAACACCTTTCTATGACACAATGAATCAAGTCTACACATTAAAATTATGTAACAGAAAATGCACCAGTAAAAATATAATTTGTTACGAATTATTGTTACAATGCTTTGTATTTGGTACGAACACAAAATAAAAAGTACGAAAGTTCGTCGACCCCTTCTGTACAAAATTAGGATACAGCGATGAATGTTTAATTTCAAATTTATGAAGAGTTAAATATGGAATTCGCAATAATCGGCCGTTTGAAAGGAAAGCTCTATGAGCGTCAGAGCGAGTGCGGAATCAGCAGGGTGCACAGCTAGATATTCGTCAAAAGTTAAGCAGAGAAAGGGAGGTATCTACTGACTTCTATCCTCTATGTTATGGGCGACTCCGCCTCAATTACCTTGGATAGACTTGATGGAGTCTCAGTTTTCCCCAAGACCTGCAACAAACTTCGGTCTCGGTATCCAAGCACGTCAAGTGCCGTGGTGAGAATACCACAGCTCAAGGAGCGTTGTGAAATGGTAAAAAGTTGGCAAAAGAAACCCCTTTTTTACAACGATGCAGGAAAAAAGTCGAGGAAGATATTCGAATAATTTAATTATAAGGATTTATAAAAACAAAAGTAAGGGATGTTTCGTTCAAAATGATCTAAGCTCAAACAAAAGGCTGTTAATTACCAACACAATAATGGAATAAATAAAAATAAACCCAAAATAATGTTATTGTACTTAACACAATTTAAGTACATGATATCAATAGCACACAGTAATCCTTCTCGGGGACCCGTTTCCAGCGATTTAGATTTCTGAGAGATTTCAAATGATGAAGGCAAGTAACTTCTGATAGAAGCTGTCAGAGAAAGAACTATTTTAATTAATAATAATAATAATAATAATAATAATAATAATAATAGGTAATTCTACACTATAAAAATATTTCAAATAATATAATTTGGTTACAAAAATTATTTGCTACATTTTAAAATTCAATTTTAGAACAAGAAATTCTGAATTTAGCAAATTATTTTTATCGAGCGGCATCATTACATTCCCCCAATTTTACACACATATTTATAAATGAAAAATTAATACTTTTGGAAATAAATTTTCAGAGCGAGATTTGGAAGTACTACGAGTTAAAGACAATGCGAAGACAGACTCCGAAGAAAGATTTTCCAAGTAAGGTTGTGTAATTAGAAACATTCTTGCGCAGAGGCTTTTTCTATTATAGTCAAACATCTTACACGATGCTTCAACAAACAAAAGAGGCAACTTCATGAACCGTGCGAAGGAGTCGCGCTGCAAACGAGTCCTCGGGAGGGATGAATTGGGTTAAGAAGGGGGGAGGGGGGATCGAGTTGGGGGGACCGATCACCGGACGTACCGAGTTGGTGTGGTGGCGCCACTCGCCGGTCTCCGGGTTGAGGATGTACTGCGGCAACAGCTTCCACGCCTCCGTCGCCACCATCTTCAGCGCCTCCAGCACGAACGCCACCTCGGCGTCGCCCATGAAGAAGGGCAGCGAGATGCGCGCGAAGCCCGGCCGCAGCATCTCGAAGTTGGAGTGCTCCTCTTGGCGGCGCAGGTGCGTGCGGTCCAGGCGCCTGCTTGTGCCACGCGCACGGCCGGACAAAGGCCCAGAGCAGATAATGGATTAGAGAAACTTGTAGAGCAGCGGTTACCGATGAACGCTAGTCAAAAGACCTCTGAAGGAAAGTGAAAGTACCATCAAATGAAGATTCGTTAATTGAATTATGTGACCAAATTCTAAAATCAGTTTTGGATAATGTTTGGCAATGATAACCAGCATTTGCTAAACATGCACTGAGACATTCGAAAGTGTTCTCTACCACTTGTAAATGTGAACAAGCTTTCTCAATTTAAAAAAATAAATAAATGCAGAAACAAACTGAACATAGAAAAAGACTTGAGGCTGAAATTGTCTGAGGCGGGCCTTAAAATGTTTTACACAATAGGTTGGGAACCGCTGGGCTAGAGAATAGGCCAGAGGCAGAGAAGGGGGAGAGAAGGGCTTCAGGGAATTGCTATAGAACAGGCATTAGAATAGAGGGGCAGAGAGGCAGAGAGAGAGAGAGAGAGAGAGAGAGAGAGACAGACAGAGAGAGACAGACACAGAGAGAGAGAGAGAGAGAGGGGGGCGCGATCTGGAGATTGAAGAGGCACACGGGATGACATTGGCTTTCTGGTAAGGTGGTGGTGAGATATTCAGTAATTCGGTTTTTGTAAACTAAAGTATTTCGAATTTCAAACAAAAAGACGTTGAAAATAATTTTCTTTTTGAATCGCAGGATGTCAATGAAGTAAATGATTTTATTAATGTTCATTTTTTTCTTCTAATAAACAAGAGAAAGAGAGAGAAAACTACAATCAAGTTCTATTACGATTCTTCGAAGGTTAGGGAAATAAAAGAACAACGGCAACATATCAAAGTAGATTTTAGGATCGAACAGCACCTTTCAATACGGAGTTTTCTTCATTGACAGTGCATCACAGAGGTTTTCTTCTATTTAATTTGTTTGACTTCGTAAGTGGAAAAGCAAACGGAACGTATTATTCTAGAAACACGTTATATTAACTGCGTTAATTAGTTGAACGTTAGAATAATTAAGCACATTGGCAGGTGAAAGCAATATTATGGAGGATCGGTAGTTAATCCTCAAAAACCAATACATTGCTTCGAGCCAGGATGGTTTCGCACACACATCGAAAGCGCTAGCGATGAAACTGGTCACGAAGTCAATGTACAAGTAGTGTATAAAGTTAATGTATCAATCATTTAGAATGTTTATTTTATCTTTGCCTCTCGACGAACAAATAAGAGTAAAATTACGGAAACATGTCGAGATGTTCGTCTTTCATTTCAACATAATTGGACTTATTTTATATTATGTGGTTTTAGCCAAGCTCTTATGGTAATTATGTTTCTAAATGCAAGAATATTAAATTAGCCACTTTTGTGAATATAGGAGAAAAAAGATAGAAGGGTAGAAAAGAAAGAAAGGAAAAGAAAAGGAGAATGGAAGAAAGAAAAATGAAGAAAGAAAGAAGGGGGAGGGGGAGGAAAGGCGAGTTGCTCACCTGTCCTCGAGCAGCACGGCCTCGTACTCAGCGGCGAGGTCCTCGTCGATGCCCAGCAGGTCCTGCGCGTAGGGTCCCGCACACGCGCACCCGCCGCGAGCCTGAATGCCGAACACATCGTTGAGCACGGCGCACACGAAATTGTGATGCAGGAAGGTACCGCGCGGGTGGCGCACCAGGAACGAGAAGATGGGCAGCCGCTTCACCGACTGCGACCCGGACCCCAGCAGCAGCAGCTCCGGGATGGTGCGCACGTGCGACAGCACCATCCTGTGCACCAGCGTGAGTCTTACCATCAGCCCATGCCTTGCCATCACACTTACCTTGCTAAATTATTCGTCAAATAAATGTACGACCGGTAAAATGAGAATTTGAGCTCTTGACGCTGAATATTTGTTCATATTGTTCTTCGATATGTATTTAAAGAAATGTATAATTTATCATCTAATAAAATATTTTTGTACCGCATTATCAGAGGTATTGCATTATTATTATTATTTTCTATTTACATTTGTAATCACAATTTGTCCTGCACCTGTTCTGTAGCATTTTCATCATTCCCATTATTACATAACATTACATTTTTTATGAAAACAAATAATTGAAACAATAATAAATTAGATTAAAGACAAATTATAATAGTTTTCGTGATGACTGCATTACGAAGACAAGTAATAAATTAACACAAATTCAATGTATGAAAGCAAGATCAATACTGTAAAAAGGACGCTTATGCTATGCTATTGCATGTCGCGCAGAGAAGCATGCCTCAGGCTGCCTTGAATCTGATGCTGCCGTGATCCTGTCATTTACATGATTCCAGCTGCATCAACTGTTAATAACAAATATTGATTCGTTGAGGATATGGATATTTAACTTCCGGTTTTTGCGAGTACTAACACTTCTCGCTGTAAACGGTAAACAGTTCTCTCTACATTCTAAATAACTTTCTTTATTGGACACACGAACTGTTTTCGAATGAGTCTTTAGTTTCTTCGTCATCCATAAGTCGGAGTGGGCATTAAAAAAATTACCTCATCGTGTGCACAAGTGAACGAGTCCTGCGGAGATATCACTGCCTTTAACACGTACCCTCAATTCATGGCAAAGTTGTGGAGATAAGTTACGACATTTACCTATTTATGGTTAAAAAACGTTTATGCAGAATGTACATAGTAGTTGATATCGAATCCGTAAAATAGTATGTTCTTCAACGAGCGAATAATGATAGCTACTATTCACGCGTTGATGTTTACGACACGAGCGCCGTAAGAGCGAGAGTCGCAATTTCCACGAGTGAATAACAGCACTTCCTCGCAAGTACGCTCTACCTTCCAAGTGCTGATTCGCTTCGCAGAGCGGCCGGGGCTCTGCGTCTGGACGTACCTGGCGATCTTCTGCTCGCGGGCCATGATGGCGAGCACGCCGACGGTCTCCTTGAGCTGCATGACGAGCCCCGCGCGCACCGACTCCACCACGGCCGCCGTCCCGCCTTCCTCGCGCAGCTCCGCGTCCTGCGCACGCACACACACGCCCACTCATTGACCAGCGCACTTACTCCAGGTCTATGGTCAACAATTTATACACCAAACTACTAACATTTACTAACAACCGCTAAATTAGACCGTTCTCTTCGATTGACGTATCCTAATGAAACGTATCTTTAGGGAAGAAGTGTGCTTTACGACAAAGGGCTTAATGTCTGAAACAACACGGATAGGTATGAATCATATTTAAATTCAGTTATACTTTCGTAACCTAGAAAACTGTAAAAAATGGGAAAGAATGAATTGGTTTATTTAAACGCAGATTTATTCTACAAATCAAATAGTGAGTTAAATATAGAACTCAAATACTGACCGAAATTTCCGATTCTTTGAACACTACATTTATATGATAACATTATACTCGCAGAAATAAGCCTCTTCCGCGTTTCATTAAAACGAAGTTCCATTATAGAGGGTTGAAAGTTTCAAAGTATAGCATAAGTACTGTACATCGTCTGAGATCACTATATTTAAGAATTAGCAATGTTGCACATGATTCTTAAAGAATAGGATTCTGTCCATTATCCCGTTATGTATAATTCTAAGAATTTCCTCTCAATAAAATATACAATATGTTATAAAAATTAACATATACATTGTTAAGAACAAAACTAACACAATACACGTAACTATTAATACCAATAAATAGCTTTTTTTAAAAATTAAAATCAATTATTTGAAGAGTTGATGAGAACGAATAAACTATTGAACCAACAAACGAATAAGTAAAGGAGTGAAACAATTGATGAAGGAGAGCAGCCAAATTCCATAGAGACAATTCAGGACACTTCCCCGTTCTTCCACGCAACCGATGGAAACTAGTTCCCACTAGCGCTCCTCGTGTCAGAACCTGGTATTTCAGCCCCAAATAAAGGCATTAATATGATTCTAACGGAAGAAATACATTTTTTTTAAATTTTCCTAACGAAATAAGACTAATTTTTACGTACTTTTTCTGTGACTTAATTATATTGAATGGCTCAAATAACGAAAAATGATAATGTACAAAAGAGATGTTTTTTATATTCCAAGAATAAAATGGTTACAATGCAAGATTTTCCTTGCCTTAACGCTTCTAGTAATACATTTGGTATTTTTTTCATTTGCTTTATTTAAAAAACACTGTATGATACAAATTAGAATATTCCTCTCATAGAATATTTTCTAATTTAATATTAATGATTTGCATTAATTGTTTTTTCACCTCAAGTTTAATGTGACGTAAACAATTTAAAAAGTAGCTATCGGAAACATACCTAGTCTTAGAAAACAAACTAATAGCTAATTCATTTGGGTAGAAAAGAGTGGCACTCACATACTGCTTAGTCAAAATATGCGAGTTTCTTAATTTATGCTTTTCATCTACATTGGATGAACTATTTTTACGTGAAGAACGAACGCGAGTTCTTAAGAATTTCATAATTAAAACAGCGAAAAACTTCACATTTTTTCCTGCCATAAGGAGGGATGTCAAGAATAGTATTGGAAAATAAGTTTTCCAGAAATTGACCAGAAAGACAATCAAAATAAAAGAAATCGAGCAGAAAACAAACACCATCAGAGCACTGAGCTTAGGCTGTATGAGTTTTCTCCAGGTTCTGCCACTAGATGAAGCTGGCATCAGTGTTACTCGATATATCGCGAAGAGTCCTGTACCGTCTCTATTGTATTTGGAGCAGCAGAGGGGGTTGGCGCACCTGCAGGTATCTGTGCGAGTCGCGCGTGACGAAGAAGACCGTGCCCCCGCCGCAGCCGTTGGGTGCCTCGCTGCGGAAGAGCGCCTTCTTGGCGATGAGCACGCCAGGCGTCTGCACGCCGCCTATGAACTTGTGCATGGAGAAGAACATGGCATCCTTGTGCACTGACGTCTCATCCACACCCGGCAGGATGGGGTTCATGTCGAGCTTGACGTAGGGCGCGGCGGCCGCGTAGTCCCAGAAGGCGAGCGCGCCGTACTGGTGCAGCAACAGTGTCGTCGCCACGTCGTCTGCCAGCACGCCCGTGATGTTGGAGGCGGCGGAAAAGCAGCCGATGAGCTGCCGCCCGGAGCCCTGGTGCGCCTCCAGCTGCCGCTCCAGGTCCAGCAGGTCCAGGAAGCCCTCGCGGGTCTCCGCGATGCGCACGATCTGCGCAGCGCAAGCACAGCCTCCCTTACTCCCAAAAACTCCTAACAACGTTAGCATTGTTGGAGAGAAACATGTTTCATGAAGAAATCGAAATATAGATTACGTGAATTGTATTTGCAGTTACTTGTTAAATGTCTACGTTGCTACAGCAAACTGAATACCTCTTTTTTACTACCTGTATGTAGCATACAAGAAAGTGTTGACTGTCAACAATTATTTTTCTCATATGTGTTCTGTGTTGATGGTAGTGATAGAAAAATTGCCAATCGTAAAAACATCAAGCGTCCGCCTTTCTATTCACTGTTTCTTCTACCAGAATATTATATATTTCGCTATTACTTTTAGAATCTAGTCAATCTAGGAGGTATAACTTTGGCATATTACCATCTATTAGTGCAAAACTCCACATGACACGGCAATGCGTATCTCCATACTTCTGCCTTGTACTTCATTTCTCGAATATTGTCTCAATGTAATGTTCTAAATCACTTCATGGCTCTACATTCTCACTGTTGTACGACACAGTATCGGTGATACTGTTTCATCTGCGGTTAGTGGTTAGGATCACTCCGAAACACATACAAATCATTCACAGCAAGATCCAAACCAATGACCCATGGAAATACAAGTGGTGAATCTTTACCAACACTTTACCCCCTTTGCTTAGAGAAAGAAATTAGCAGAAATTATGTGGGTAGACCAGGATCCAGCAAACAACCAAGCACATCTTTTCCAATATCTAGTGTAGTATATTGTGATGGAATTTTTTTCTATCTTATTTTGGAGCGATTTCAATTTTTGAAACTGATAAAATAGTTTTAATTGTTTTTCACTATAGCCTACATTGCTTAAAAATCGAAAAAAATGGTCTAGAATGTTATAAGACACTCTTTAGGGAGGAAACTGAGACAGTATTCCAACGTTATGTCGAAAATCAATTTGAAAAATTTATTTATTTTTTATTTGAATTTGGCGTCCAAGTTGATTGACAAAAATACCTTTAAATTCAACTATTTTCCCCATCTCTGAATTTTTTTCACACTGATACACACAATAGAAGCTGACAGAAATAAAACATGGGGGGGGGAAACGTTTCTCGTATCTTGCAACAGATTATCCTAGGAGGTTGAGTTTTTGCGAATCTACATTTTGTATTATCTTTCATATGAGCATCGCAATTATCGACTTGGTTTGGGGACTTTTCACCGCTTTATCCGGCTAAACCCTTTATTTTTTAGATTACTTGTGAAATATATATTGTACACAGAAAACCAAATTATCTTCGAAGGTACACAACAGATTACAAAACACAGAATAGTAAAATATATTGTTAATATTTTACAACTATTATTGGTTTAAAAGTTAAGTATATGTATTGATATTTTTATAGTATAGTGTACACATTTTAACTGCGCATGATGGTAAAGGAAGAGAGGTAGAACTGAAAAACCTCTCAGCGACTCGTACTGAATCTAGATGGCAGGCTTTTCTCGTCTGCCAGGTGCCTTTCCCAAGCGGAGCAGCCGGCGTGGAGCATCGGAGCACCCTCAACGAAGACGCCGACGCGACTTCCGTCTGTCAGAATGGGCCCAACGCCCGCGCGGTCGTCTGCCCTCCTCACTTCCACGTCAAGCGTTCCACCCGAAGGCCTTACCCGCCGCGACGGTTCCGCTATTTTTCTTTTTCGCCAGACTGGCGGATACTTTATCCCACTTGTTCACTCCAATCCCCTTGCCAACGTCTCTTCTCTCCATGTCCAATGCCCATGTCCATCGAGATAGTAAGGAGGGAGCTTGATGTTCAGAGCAACGGTTGTCTTAGAGACAAACACACTATAGTACGACAGTGAAATTCACTTGAATTTAGGCCTATGCTGAGACACGCTACTCTTGCACAGCTCTCGAAGACGCAAGGGATAGGATTGAGGACTTGGAGCGATGTTTCCTGTACATATGTTTCTTTTATTGAATCTTAATATATTATGAGTCAGCGTTTGTGCGTAGCCAGCGGTAATTATTTTGATTTGGGTAGCTGGCACTTTTACCCGAGCATGCGCAGGCACATCAGCCGGTCTGTGCTTTCCTCCCGGTTTGGTGCGTAGTTCGCGTGAAAGAGACATCTTCAAGGGAAGCAGCGGCAGATGGTGGGAGTCACCCTCCCCTCGCATGCGCAGTCGAAGGGATACTACAAACTTGTTCCATTATAGGTTGATCTGGGCTGTCCGGGTGACGCCGCGTCGAAGGCTGTGTTGCCCACCCGGACACCCCAGATCACCCACATGACTCAGGTCGCGTAAACCTACGACTTCATTTGTTCCATTATAGTTCTGCTCTGCTGATCTGCTCCCTCACCAAGCTGCCCGCGAGCGACGGTCGCGCGACTGGCCGTCCTAGCTGCCACGCCGTCTCCGCCGCCCTCATGACCGCCAATTGGATGAAGGGCGGCTGGACCTGATGAGCCGCGATCATTCACCTCCCCCCTCTCGTGGGCGGCAGTAGATGAACGGCTCTTGTTTATGGGTATCGTTTGATGTCCGGTCGAATTAGGCGGCTCTTTGATGATTTGTACCCGCGCCACTCACACTTCTCTCCGCAACATACTTTGGCTCATTTCGTAATTCAGACAAACAAATACGGAAGGATGGCGGTGACTAATGCATTTCTAACTTATTTAAATAGTCTTTAGAAACATACAATCATCTTTCATATTTGAATGGGTGAATATCAGAACGGCATAAGTGACATTTTGCAAATTCTGAGAAAAAACTAGTCTAGTTTAGGCCACGCGGGCGCGGTCGCTTCACCGCCCCCGCTCCCGTCCCCGCCCCCTCATCGCCCTCCGCGCCGCCAGGCAAAAGGCCCTCGCCAGCGTTCTGGGGAATGGCCGTTCCGAACAAACCCTCGGTTCAGGTGAAGGCAAAGCAATTGTCGAGGATCAGTTGGAAATGCTCTTATGGGACGATTTTGCTCCACCCCAGGACATATTTGGATTTTTCTTCCGTGATCCCTATAAAAGCAGCTCCTGAAGACGTACAGGTCATTTAAAAATAATGTAAATCTTAGCGCGATGTTGACCACAAAGAAGGTATAAACGAAGCTAACATTCACCCGCATAATATACAAAATACATAGTGACACACATAGAAATAATTATGTGTAATACCGTAATTTAAAAAATACGTAAATAGAAAAAAAAACTACATAAATAGAAAAAATAATCCAGAAAGTATGAACTCATAACCATCCGTGGGTAGCAATTCCGCTTATTCACTTTTGGAGGGATTAATATAAGTTTTTCTTTAATACCATTTGAAATCAAAATTACGCTTGTATTCACATAAGTATTCAACACTATTATCATTTATTATTTATGTAAAACTCTTGAAAACATTCATCAGCATAAAATACGTTTAATGGATACGAATAAACTGTCGAAACACCAACCAATATTTCGACTAAATGAAAATACGCGCTTTTAATTTACACACACAGGAATCCACCCCAAATTAAAGATACCTGCTAAACTAATCGTGCGCCCCCGGAAATAACATAACCTACCTCACTTGGCCGCATTACCTACGACCACCTGGGTGCGCTCCCCTTCCGAGGGTGCGGGGGGTGGGGCGGAAGGACCCCTGGGACCCGGGCAGCGATCGATGCCGGCACCAGCCTCAGCCCACCCACCCCATCCCAAACCACTCTCGGCGCTCGTGGCTCACAGCCGGTGCCACGGGAAGCAAGGGATTGCGCTGACATTTTCATGTTCACAGGCTCACAGAGACTCTTTGGTGAGTTCTTGCAGTTAAGGTTGCACGGTAACACGATTACGACAGTTATGAGTATGGTGTCAAGACATGTAACTCGGCTTTCTCGGATGCCCCATGGTTAGTAACACTTTGAGAGCCTGATATTCTTTCTTTTCAGAAAACTAAAAATATTACAGCAAAGTTTTTTTCTAGTACTCTTTACTAGATTATTTGTACATTTAGAACTTATGCATTCTTTTATCTTATGAGAAACTTGTATTTACACATCGTATCGAAATGCATATTAAACCATTTAAATCTGAGCGCTGGTCGCATTCGCAGGGCAACTTCCAATTTGTCTGGCTCTCGATGAGCTTCCTTCGCTCAATTCCAAGTTATAACGACGCGGCCCATTTTCTTGTCCAAAAAATGAACCTTTCAAACACTAAAATAGATATAACGCTGTGGAACCACATATTGAATGCAAATACAGTATCTGCGAGCGTATTCTCTCGGTTGATCATTCGCAGTAACCCATTAATGTTGCGATACAATTTGATCCCTCATCTCATCACCACAAACATCCTCCTTTGCGGTCGTGTCTGTGTGCTCTTTACTGTTAAAAAAATGCGAACTATAACGTCTGTAGTTTTCATTTATAAACTGGCGCATCCACGAGGGAAAGGGGTCATGCAATATTCGTAACCGTGTACATTTTTTAATGAATTAAAATTTCCATATTTTTATTATCTACCGCGTAATAAATAATATTTACGAAAATTCTGTGTAAAGTGAATTGTATATGTATAAATATGGAAAAGTGTTGATTACTTGTCTTAAACATCCCATTCCATCCTTGGGTTGTGATCTCTCCGGAGTTGCCTGTGCCCTCCCCGCCAAGATCCCCATCCTTTGTCCACTCAGCGGAGACGGACGCAATACTCACCGTGGCGCCTAGCTCGCGCCATGGCAGCAGGTTGGAGTGGTGCTCGTAGGGCCCCATGAAGACGACTGGCGACTCGGGCAGGTCGAGAGCGTGGATCAACTTGTGCACGGCGCCCGTGCAGCCAGAGCCGGCGAATATGACGGCATCGTGCTCAGACGCATGCACGGCATTGCGAATGATGTCTCGCGCCTCGTGTCTGCGAAAGACACCGACAGGCACACTCTTATATGAACCTCTCTGGAATATCGCAATCTTACAAAACTAAACTTATAGTATAAATATTTGAATGTTGAAGGAACTGTAAAAGCTTGTAGTGTAAGAATTTGAAGTAGAATGTGCAGGGGTTTGCATTTAGACGTTTCAGACCGTATATGCCAACGGCCGATGGAGCGGAATGCGTCATTCATCTGAAAAGGCCACCGGTCGCCACTCAGTGGTCGTCCAGATCCGTTGTTCGCGTGCAAATTCCAGACTATGTTAGCAATGAAAGCGGATGCTGCGGAGCCCCACACGCATCAACGTTCACTTGTTGAGGAGAACATGTTGGTAGCCCCTTGGTTCATCTGGGCGGCCAGATGCTCTACAGCTGCATGCCTATCTGCCCGTGCACATCACCGGTCGTTCTTCCCTGTCATCTGTGGCCTATGGTGCGCCACATTTGCCTCAGCGCCGGTTTTGGATATTGCCATTTCGCCATACACTATATACTTTAACCACAGCGGCATGCAAATAGTTTACAGTCATTTCGGAACTTTTCAACTGCTTCCGCCCTTGGCCCAAAAGCCAATGATCATGCTCTTTTGGAGTCCGATTAATCGCACCGTTTGTGCATTGCGACTATTACCGCTTCCACTCGATACGCCTTATAAGCCATCCATTGTCAGTGCTGCCGCCGTCCAACTGTGAGGGGTTTATTACACTTTTACGTCGAACTTAAGCGGTGGACACAAAAATGTGACTGGACTGAGTTTAAACAATAATGATTAGGCAACTTCTGAAAGCAGAAAGTATAAAGAAAATACAATATTATAGTACGCATTATTATTATTATTATTATTATTATTATTATTATTACTATTATTATTATTAATGATACTTTTTACAGTGTGCATTTAATATCATTTTCTGAAATAACTTTCGGGGATTATTCTTTTTTACTTTCATGCATTGTAAGAAGTGAAAGTTACGTAATGGTGCGCCGGAAAACAGTGAATATTCGGTAAAACATTCTTATTGCCCTGGTAACGTAAAAAACTGGAAAAATCCTTATGCTATACGTAACCAATTACTTTGTCTAACATATGGTGTAGCCAGAATCTGTTTTGATGATCCTCGATACCGGAAAATCGATTGATGACAAAATGTCCATCTATATATTCGTCTGAAGTTAACGCCAGCTGTTCAAGCCATTTACTCCAAAATTAATATTTTCTAATCAATCTGAACGAACTTTGGGATTCTCAACGGGATCTTTTAATTTTTGGGGGTCCTGTATATGAAACCTCAAAGAAATTTTCACTTTTTTTCAAAAATTGCTCCAATTTTGTTTTTATTAAACTCTGTGCTCGGGTAGCGTAACGAACGCTTAACGGCATGGTTGAAATCACTGATTTTTCGAAAATTACAAAAGTGCAATTTGTTTGATTGTCTTCTTAGAATTATAATATTGAGGATAAATATTTTTTCCTTTTTGAAATCTGTTCTTTAAAAAGATCTTGAAATAAGTTCGTGCACAATTTTTTGAAAATATGAGTGGTTTAAGTGTAATTTTGCGGGAAATTTGAAAACTTAATTTTTACCTAAGCATTTTTTTCTCAAAAACTGTTCCAATTATTTTCTTTAACTTTTCTCCCCATGTGAATCAATGTGCGGTACAATAATATGGTGCTAGTCCTAGTTTCACAGAACTCGCAGTTTTTTCGAAAAGTTGTAAAAAATCGGCTCAACATAAATTTGCATCCGTTCTTAATGAAACCGTCGTTTAAGCGTTTACTTATAATGCGAAATTTGAAGCTCTTTCCAAAAGAAATCTTTGGAGTTTTCGAAAAAACTTCAATAAAAGTTATTTGAAGCAATTCCACTCAAATACAATCTTCTCTACTAATGTAGCGTCACGTTGGCTGCCATGCTTGGGAGGAGGACGCGGAAGCCACTCATACCAGAGAACTATAACTAGCAGCGACGGCATTGGGGGTGGCAGATATTTTTAAAGGCGGACTTGTATTGCAGTGTCACATGACAGTAAACCGCCCTCCCATGGTCAACGGTGGTCACGTGGGGATAAGTCGGCGAGTACGCCGGCGGGATTTATTCTTGTAAATCTCGCGCTTTGCGCATAATTCACGCCCAGGCTGATGCGTATTCGTGCGTTGCACAGGTGACGAAGGTCCGGAGTGGTGCGGTAGGAGCGTGCACTCGAGGTGCGGCCTTTTACGGACATGTGGTGTGTACACAGGACGGCATGATCGCGGCTGGCGATCGGGAAATACCGGAAAGTGTGTACGGGGCAGTCGAGACATTGGTAAATTTTGTAAATAAAACTCAATATACTTTTAAATTGTCTGTGTGTATAATTCCATGACGCCACACGAATAAAAGTGAAATGAATGACAAGTAATCGACATCAATTCCACAAAAAGGAGTGTATCAATAGATACGAAATATTTATAGGTTCTTACATCTTCAGGATTTGTCGCAGTGTCCTTGCATATTCTGATGAAGCTTGAAGAAATCAAATGCGGGAAATAAATAATATAAATAATAATCCGGTAGATAAACCACGAACATTATTTATCGTCTGTCGCTAAGAACCAGGTTCCTACAGACGCACACACCTACAGACGGACAGACGAGATATACACACGGACAGACGAGATATACACACGGACATTCAGACGGACGGCCAGACAGACAGGCATTCAGACAGACAGACAGGTATTCAGACAGACAGACAGGCATTCAGACAGAGAGACAGGCATTCAGACAGACAGACAGACAGGCATTCAGAGAGACAGACTGACAGACAGGCATTCAGACAGACAGACAGGCATTCAGACAGACAGACAGGCATTCAGACAGACAGACATTCAGGCAGACAGGCATTCAGACAGACAGACAGACAGGCATTCAGACAGACAGACAGACAGACAGACAGGCATTCAGACAGACAGACAAGAAATTAAAAATAATTATAACATTTTGCTATTAATATTTTAGTCATTCTTATATTTTCTTACTTTTCTTATTTTTGCCAAATACAAAGAAACAAACAACACTACACTAAAATCTATCCATACTAGGAATATACATAAAGAGAATTTAAAGTGCTGAAAAGTAATTCCAAGGCACCATGTTCATGCTTCTGAAAATAAGTGCAAAGGGAGAATTGCGCTCAAAGAAATCTTTTACGCACTGCGCAGGGTTCCGGAATTGCCGGTAAAAGTGTGCGATACAATGTTCAAATCGTTAGTTCTCCCAGCTATGAAATATGCGACAGAAATTTGAGAGTGGATAGGATAGATCGAGTAGAAAGCATCGAAACAGATTATTTCAAATTAATTCTAGGAGCTTCTAGATGCGCAGCAAATGCCGGAGTCTTATGAGAGGTCGGTAGTGTACGAATTTGGAGAGATTTTAAAATGAAATCTATTAAACTTTGGATTAAATTAGCAGATGAACAGGCTGACACACTCATACATAGGTGCTTTAGAGTGCAATGGCAGGGAAGCGACCATCGCTACTGGGCGTACAAAATTAAACGGCTACTTGACCGCGCAGGTTTGGGAGACATCTCTCCGGAAATGGTGGGAGATAGGGGAAACCTGTGAGATAGAACGGCTGATTTCCGATAGACTTGTGGATATTAAAAGGCAAGAGATCTGGGCAACAACGGCTGAAAAAAGTTCGCTAGTAGCTCAAATCCATGCGAATCCGTTATGGGGTTGCGAAAGTTACGTACATAGAGGGGGATACGCTTGGTTCAGTGTTGGGGTGTGAATGCAGCGTAAACTAAAGGACGCAAGTGGTAATGGCATCTGTGTGCTTTGCGGTGATAGGGAAGACTGGATCCACATCCTCTTAATTTGCTGTGCAACCGAAACATGGAGAAAAAAATGGATGGGAATGGGAAATTACTACTTCCTAAATAGGAACGTAACGCTCGCCCAAAACATTTTAGGTGATAAAAGGTCTAAAAAGAATGGTCTATGAAAGAATTAGGAACATTTTTAGGCAAGGTTCGGACAATTAGTGAAACTGAAATTAGGGAGTGGGAAAACAACACCGCTTAGCTTGAGCGGAGCCTAGACTGGAGAGAAATAAATAAGTCAATAAGCTAATCAGTAATTTTATGTTGAGTTAGTAAACAGTTACGAAATAAGTCATAGTCAATTGGTAAGTAATAGGTCAATATAATAAATAAAATAAAACTGGCATAGTAATAAGCACATTAGAGGGTGAAGGTAATGGGGATCGAAAATATAAGGGCAGAGGCGTTGGTGCGGACGATCTTCTGTGGCGCTGTTTGATTTCAGGTGCTGAGGAGGCCAAGCACTGGAAGGAGACGGAGGGACGCCCACGCCAGAAAACAAATAGTTAAAATAAACGTCGGATAGATTAGTATGTACTCGGCTTCTGACGGCAGGTTTTTTACCCTTCAGGGGGTTTTTCCTGTTCGTACCTTAGAGTATCTTTTCCGCGGCTTTGATGCGATGGAGAGACCATTCGGGGTGAATACCAGAATTCGAAAGATTAGAACGCGAAAGGATGTAGGTATTGTAATGGCTTAAAGGCCGTCGGCCTAGCCACATAGGATCAAGAAAGCTAATTTGTTTGTAAGAATTACCTATTAAATAAATAAATAAATAAATAAGTGAAAAAAGTTATTGGCTACCACCTGTTAAAAATGAGATTTTTTTGTTCCGAATTTGAATAATTGTTCGAACAAGTTCTGGCTTAACAAAATATAAACATTTTAAAATATATTTCATTGTTTGGAAATGAATTTGGAATTGGAATTTTGAGTTTAAGAGAAATGTGTTTTAAAAAAGGTATTCTGGAAAAAAATGTTTGAATGCACCTCCTTTTAGGACAGCTGCAGCTCCGTTTACTTCAGTTACTCGTATTGGTGGTTCACATTTTTTTCATGTCAATGCATTTATCCTAGTAATTTTTAATGGCCATATATTTATTTGGCTCATTGTTAATAAACAATAATGAGACTATAAATATTATTTATGGTCATAAACGTAAATTACCCAAAGAAAAAGGCGATATAAGCCGTCGACACTCACCTGAAGAGTGTGGATTGCATTGAGGTGATGCTCGTGGTGGTATGCGTGTTACCGTAACAGGGCAACACCTCGCGCAAGACATAGTCCTCGATGAACTGCAAGGAGCGCCCGGAGGCTGTGTAGTCGCAGTACACCACTGCAACGAGAAATCGAGTCTGTTAAAACGTTCTGCATGACCTTGGAAAAACACAAGTTTTCACTTCAACGTATAAAACTGAAAGTACGCGTGACGGTGTGTTAGTTCCAACATAACTCTGGGACTCATAAAACCATTTCCACCAAATTTTGTATAAATGATTTTGAACGATCTAAAGAGAGAGAAAGCAAAGAGGAAGAAATAAAAAAATAGGGAATAAGAGTTCCTGATACAAATTGTACTCCCTTCCACAAGATAGACTGTTCAATGCAACCCACATTACATTTAGATATTGCGAAGAAGAGACCTGAGTAGGGGAGAGGCCAGTGAGGAGCAGGACGAGGCTGGGTGGGACGGGACGGATGAAGCAGATGGAAGCATAGCGAGGATATAAATAAAAAAAATACAATTCTACTCTTAAGAGCCAAAATAGTTGTACACATGCGAAATATCGTGTGGGGCCCCCGCGAGCATGCAGAAGTGCCGCAAGATGAAGTGGCATGGACTCAACTAATATCTGAACTAGAGCAGGAGGTAATTGACAATATGAATCCTGCAGGGCGGTTCATAAACTCGTAAGAATACGAGGCGGTGATCTCATCTGAACAGCACGTTGCAAGGCATCCCAGATATGCTCAATAATGTTCATGACTGGGGATTTTGGTGGGCAGTAGAAGTGTTTAAATTCAGAAAAGTGTTCCTGTAGCTAGTATGTAGTAATTCTGGACGTGTAAGCTGTCGCATTGTCCTGCGGGAATTGTCCAAGGGCGTCGGTATGCACAATGGACATAAAAGCAGGTGATCAGGCAGTATGCTTACGTACGTGCCATCTGGCAGAGTCATATGTTACTTTCGGTGACTCCAGTTAAGTTCTTTAGCAGTTTTCATGGAACGTTCATAATGAAGCCTGAGCAAAATACACTGATACACTCAAAAGAAAGTTCATAACAAAAGGTATGCGCAGTCACCTCTTTTAAATGAAGTGGCAAATAACTGCTTTATTAAATGATTTTATCATTAGATTTAAACAGCATTATTTCAAGAGATATGACTGTTTTCATTAACCTAATATTTATTTTTAAAAGACTATTACCTCGTATGTAAAAAAAAAGCTCTTATCTGGTGAGGCTGTGCCGAGCTTCTTGAGACATTCCGGCTCGAGTCGCCAATCCGAGCGGACCTAGTATCGCGCAGCTCCGCTGTGCGCTATTTGATCGATAGCGTTGTGGCATTCAGTACCCGTAGGGCAGTTCAAGCAGCCGAGTATGCCGTTGCACGTCAACTAGGGCAGGCAATCAGCCAAGCCCTACACACTCTCAACTAGGGAAGGGTAAATCATTACTTAGTACCGCAAAATATTACAACCGAATATGGCGGTCGCCGCTCCTGCCGTTATCGTCCTGGAATACTTCGTTGGCAGCCAGGAATGATCAACAAACCCCACCACGCAGTCTCAACCTTTTGTATCAGGCATGAACACACAAGAAAATGGTCAGTCAGTAATACTGATAGGATATGATTGAAGGCGAAAAACATTAAGGTCACCTCTAATTCCAGTCTGCCCTTTGGCCACACCAAAAGCCAGCAATTGAGAGAGAGGAGGGAGAGGGGGAGAAAGAGAGAAATTGTGAGGAAAGTGAAAGTGGGGGGAAGTGAGAGTGTGGGGGAATAGGAGAGAGTGGGGAAAGGGAGAGAGGGAACAGTACGTCTGCTAGATTCTGCTAATTCCATCTATAATAAGTACTATTCACAATTTACGGAATCGTCCCCTTGATATAGATCAATCCGTTAGTTAACTCACTTCCCCCCACTTTCACTTTTCTCACAATTGACGTCATCATGCCCACGCAGCTTTCGCGGAGCCGCCGTCCGCTGCGCCCTCTCCGCGGGGCGGTTCTCTAAGCTTTGCTTTCTTCACGGATTGTTCATGTTTCTTCGTACGTCTCTGCAGAATCTACGTTGTGTACCCTTACAATTTTTTAAAAGAAGTACACGCTTCACGACTATTGTAATATTCTATGACGTCAAAATATCGTAAACATTTTCGTGAATTAAACACGGAATGCGGGTTCCTTTAGCGATTTCTTTTTATATTCGAGAGTGTCATGAAATATGTCTCAAGTTTAGCACGACTATAGATTGTGAAACGTTAAACGTATTCCATGACACTAACTAAAAAACATTTTCATGACTTGGGCGCAATGAAATACTCTCTAAATTTATACTGTTTTTACGCTTTTTTAAAAAAACGATGTTAATAACGATAGTCTAAGAATAACATGTATTTCTTAAACTATTGAATTGAATTTGCCTTATTTTACGTGGCGAGACTCGGGCCATTAGGCCCGCTCTTCCGTCTGACCACGCAATTTCGCTACGCTCCTTTCACCAACTAGGAGAGAAAGGAGGTATTTCTTGGGCGAGAAACAGGCGATTTTGAATTTAGCTCAGAGGCGTCATTTAGGATTGAGGATCTTTTACATGCAAGTAAATCTACGAACATGGGACAGCCGGCTTTACTTCCCCTCTGAAGGAAGGCGTACGAAGGATTTTTTCGCCCTTAAAAATCCACGGCTTCGATCGGGTTTGAACCCGCCAACTTGGGTACAACAGTCCAGTACGCAAACCATTACACCATCGCCGCCGCCAAACTATAGGAAGTGATTAAATTTAAATTATAATTTTGTATTTAAATATCTGTATCGCCGTAGTCTTTTATTGTATAACTGCACAGTCGATTCACTTGATGAAGCATCAGTTCAATCTAAAATTTGTTTTTATGCAATCCATTCATTCCAATTACGCTACCTTTGATGAGAATTTCACATTTTTCTCAGTGTAGCAAACGGGCAGGTCGCGCAGGGCGCGGAGCAATGTCCTCTGCCCGCGGGAATGAATTCTGAAGTCGCAGAGGCCGTTGGCGTCGCAGCGTGGAGTTCCTTGCCCCTCGGACATCGATCGCCGCCCACGCACCATTCGGCTGCCACGCGGGCGCACGCCCTGGCGGCAGAGTACAATATCTCGCCCGCGCGCCCAGTTTCTCGGTGTCTCATTCTTAACAGGAAAGGGTTTGCTGTGAGGAGTTACGTTGGGAGCTCGGTGCGACCCCTTCTCTGGCCGTTAAACAACTTGACGATCCCCATTTTGACTTTCTTTATACATATTTATTTTTCATTCGGAAATTCATAGTTCAGTTAAATCGCTTTTCCATATATATTGAATGGTTTTCAACTATTCTTATTTCCTAATCCAAAAACTAACTACGGGAAGGGGTAGGAAGCTACAATCTGCGTCTACTGTTCACAAATGTTCGGGGATATGTTTAGAAAGGCGTTAAAAGGGTATCTATTTCTTATTCGCGAGTACAGTCTGTTGTCGCGCGGGCATAGTGGCGGTGTGTGGTATAGAGTTGATATATGAATAAAAGTTATTGAAGAGATGTATTTAATGATGGAGTTTATATTCAATTCTTTATGTAAATATTTGTTGGATATATTCATGGAGCGTGACTTGGTTAATAAAGCCTAACTGATGTTTAGGCATATTTTGTGTTTTGTTTAAATGATTGTTTAATCTTTTCCGAATTAATTTTTGTAGAACTTTTGACAGTGTTGGCAATAAACGGATTGGTCTGTAACTATCTGTGATGGTCTGCAAGTATCTGGGATACTGTGATTTGTATTTGGTTTTGGAATAGGAATAATGTGAGAGTTTTTCCTAAGTAATGGATAGTAACGAATTTATCTTACTATAATATTTATTAACTTCATATTATTTATGAAGGCTACTGTTGGTGTGTGTAGATTAATGAGAATTTTATTGTTGATATTATCATGTTCAGCTTTTTTGAGGGACGACTGTTTATTATATTCATTTCGTTAGTTAAATGAATTTTATTTTCTGTGGGACATTACAGCTCGGAACGGAAACAGAGTTAGCACTTTGTATACGTTCTGGCTGAGCTGGAACGTTATTAAGTGCAAGGTAGTCAGCTAATACTTCAGGTTTTTCAATAGGGGACTTTTTTTCCAGTGGGCGTGCTTATAGGAGGAATGGTGCTCTGCTTTCTTAGAGTTGTTAGTTGTGCTTAGGAATTTAATTAAGGAGTTATGGGACGAGTGTCGGAGTTCTTTAATTGCGTTTTTGGTAATCGTGTTTAGAATTTAAGCTCTTTTTTAATTGGAGATTTATATTGTTCTCCTTGTTCTGTTTCTGGTTTTTATTATGGTTACGAGTATTATGGGGACTGGCAATTTAGTATGCGTTTTTGATTTATTATGTACTAAGTTATGTTGTTGCTGAACGATAGCACTGGTCATTATATTGCTTAGAAATGCTATTGAACTTTCTATTTCTAAAGGCGTTTATAGATTCCTGAATTTGGGGGTTTTGATTATTATGCTTTTCCTGAGTTATTTCCATTTCATGTTATTAGTATTTAATGTGGGGGTGGGTATGTGTGGGAGCGGTTGTTGATGAGTACAGTTATTACTGGAAGTTGATCAGAGGCAAGTTCGTGTAGCGCAGTAGAGTAAAATGTAGTCTGGTCTTTGGTGGTTGCAATGTCTAATATGTCTGGGTGTTTATATGGGTCGTAGGAATAGTAGGTTGGTTTTGTACGAGTTAATATGTGTAATTTTCAGTTTGTTATTATTTTTTGTAAATTTTTGCTTGCGCTGTTTGTTGATTGGCATCCCCAGTGGGTGTTTTTGGAGTTTAAAAATCCTCTGAGTAAGGTAGGGGTAAATAGCGCCGTGATGTCTTCGTTTTTTTTATTTGGTGACTTGTTTGCTGTTATAAATTGTTAATTCTCTGTTGTTCAGAGGAAATTTTATTGCGACAGATTCTAATTCCGGAGTGTTGGGTACGTTTGCTTTGGTGTATGGTACTGATTTTTCACAAGGATAAGAACACCTCCCCCATTAGCATTGATTCTGTCTGATTTGATTATATTGTAACCGGGCATATTGAATGTCGAATGGAATTTGAAGTATGTTTCC